ATGCTTCTTGATTTAAGAACTTTTAGATATTTGGACTAGAAACAAGACAAAAAAATCTAAGTAAGAAAACCATTTTTTGCAGTGTAATACCTGAATAACTCAGGTAATTGGTTTATTTTGAGTCAGATGAGGGTTTCAGGCATGTTAAAAAGAAAGTTGTTTGCGGACAAATGCTTAATGTTACTGGAGACATGAATCGTTTCAAATGATAAAGTACAATTTGGTGAACTAGTTTAATCGGTTCACTTAGAAGATCCAGTTAAAAAGAACAATTGTTTTGTGATCAGGATCACTAATACAGAAATAAAACCCATTATTGGGCACACGTGTTAAATTAATACTTTTAAGTGTCTGCTCGAGTCGAATTTAATGTCGTCACTGTGTTGCTGTCATGTCCACTTGCTTTTGCACACACAATGCAGTTTTTATCTTTTTTAACTCGTTTTTATTTTTATTTTAGGTAAAGAAAATGTTTTTCAATTCTATATATATATGTTTTTATTAACTATAATAACCTTGCTTCAGTCACAATATTATTAACATATTATACAATGGTCAACATTCGAAGTGAATCAAAAATGTTTTTCAAAACTGTCGTAAGACGGGAATGGGTGTTGCTCGATAGTTAGGACAACTTTGATGAAAGGTCTACTTCAAATGTTGCCTACTGTGGTTTCTATAAGAGAATGAAAGCAAAGCCTACTCGATAATTAGTTTCAGTTGGAAGTACATCAACATACATTTTAGCACTCATTTAGCTGACGATTTTAATCCTAAGTGACTTACAAGTGAGGGTAAAATCATTAGGAAGTAGCAATCTTTTTTCCTCTATAATTTACAAGTAATTTTTCTTCTTACTCAAAACATAAGGAGATGAGAGGGAGTTGGTTTGTCAAGCCCACTCACCTGCAGAACACATCAAGATTTTCTAGACGTTTTCAGGAACCTGAAGCATTGATAAGAACATATCTGGTGCGTATGGAGAGATAAGTGTGTCCTTCAGGTGGTTTGACAAGCCCACTCACCAACGGAGCACACCAAAAATTTAAGATGTTTATTAGAAACCTCAGGCATTGACAAGAATATGTCTGTTGCATATGGAGAGGAGAGATTGTGTCCTACAGGTGGTTTGTCAAGACCACTCACCTACGGAGCACACCAAGATTTTCAAGATTTTTTCAGGAACCTAGTTCATTTATAAGAACGTATCTGGTCAATTGGAGATATGGAGATATTTGCAAGATAATTTCAGAAATCTGGAGCGTTGATAAGAAAGTGTCTGGTGCATACGAAGAGTAGAGTGTGTCACTTCTCATACTAAAATAAAAGTCCCAGCAACCATTTCATGTGGACTTTCAACTTGTTTTCTACATTTACTGACTGATAATGTACTAAACATGATCTGATCATACTAAAACCTTCAGGCTACATTAGTGTCTGCCTGCGGTTTAGAACTGTCTGAGGTTGGAAGGCTAAATGATTCCTCTTTCATCCCCTGCTTTCATGATGACCCTGAACCTCACACATACACATGCGCACACACACAAAGCCCAATCAACAGAGAAGCAGCAATTTAATTCTCCACAAGCTTGAAGGGAAGCACTAGCCTTCTGAAAAGAGATGAGATTTTCTTATTAATGTCCAACAGTACATCATCAGTCGGACCACAAACAATACGGCCTGATTCACCTTACTGTGACTACTCATTACTTCTCTCCTTATTGGTGTCGCAGCCTTTGTGAATCGTCATTTTCGCTTCTGTTGATCTGCTCCTGAAAGTCTGCATCACGTGGAAACATACACTGATAAAATAAGCTTTAAACAGCGCAAATAAAGAAACTGACCCCATGCTAAAAGAATTGCCTTCCGTGTTTTCCTGAATACAAGTTGCAATTGTGTGAAATGTGCTGGGACTAATATAAGGCTGTATGGAATATGTGTCCGCACACAATTAGAATCATACAGATCGTATCTTTCTTTAACTTTTGATTTCAGCTCAGCTTGTAATATAATTATAGTAAAGTTTATTGTAAACAGTGACATCAGTAGGTTTTCCTTTTTCTTTTCTAAATACTGGTTAAAGCGATCGTTCACACAAAAAAGAAAATTTACTCATTTTCCATTCAATCATTTATTCATTCATTCATAAATGTATTCATTTCAGGTTAGTCTCTGATTTATCAGAGGCCACCACAGCGGAAAGACTAATGACATATGCCAACTATTCCGACAATATGTTTTTACATAGCAGATGCTGTTCCAGCCGCAACCCAGTACTGGGAAACACCCATTCAGTCTCACATTCACACACACACTTATACTGTACATTATGGCCAATTTAGTTTATTCAATTCACCTAAAGCGCATGTCTTTGGACTGTAGGGGAAACCAGAGCACTCAGAGGAAACCCACGCAAACACATGGAGAACATGCAAACTCCACACAGAAATGCCATTTCAGTAGGTGCACTTCTGTACTTTTTAGCTACTGATTTAGTAGGGATGTCCAGATTCAATTACGTGATTGGAAATTGGGCCTGATCACCCAGTTTCAGACTCGCTTGGAATCGAACATTACGTCCCAATCAGGATAGAATATACATGTATATTGGTATTATTTTATTATAAAATATTTTGCTGTGTAGAAAACTACCCCTTAGTTTCGAAATGGGATGACAGACATTTTGTAGTTAAGTTCAGAAAAAAAAAAACTGAGATGAAAGACAAGCTGAATTGAGAGCAGGAGTGAATAAGGGGCCGATGACACTGAACGTGCGTCTTGTTTTGGGAGGCGCCTTTTTTGATTGGTTTACTAACATCCGCGAGCACTGTGCGCACTGCTTATGCGCCCTGAGCGGAAAAACTCTGAGCGGAAAAGGCGCGTTACGTCAGACACGTTTTTTTCATTCACCAATCAAATGAAAGCAGAGGCAGGGTTTCCATTGAGGTGCCTGCAGTGTTTGTGTTTTCAAGACAACAACGGAGACTTTTAAAGATGGAGGAGAGACTTGTGGTTGCTGTTTTGAGATCCGGTGATGTATGAATTACAAATCTTGAATCTCACAATATTAATACATTTTCAAGTTATATTAATATTAACAGCAACACTCGTGCATATTACAGCTGATTAAATCGTTGCCTAGTGACATAAAAAGCGCACCACGCTTCTTATTTTGTCAACAAAAAAGTAGTGAGGTGCGCCTCGCGTTTTTGGAACATAAATATGCGTTCGGTATGATAAGCCCCTAAGAAAGTAGAAAGAAAGTCACTCGGGGTAATATCACTGATTGTTATTGTTATTTATTAATATTACTTTCTAAAGGTGTAGTAGGTAAAAAGAAGTACACAATTAAAACTGTACATTTGTCAAATAGGTTTCATCTCCAGTTCTCTAGAGCTGTATTTCTCAACCCCAAAAGTGGGTCGCGGGAACATTTTCAGTGGGTCGCGGCGTGTGTGGTGAAAAAAACAACAAAAGTTTAACTTATTTTGACTTTGATTTTGAAATGCATCCATGACAACCCTACCGTTTGACATGTGAAATTTCATTTAATTATAGCAACAAATATGTTAAAGGGCAAGTACGACTCCAAATATGTAAAGTATGGATTTACATATATTGACTGAAAAAAAGACTTAAAGCCTCAGTGTGACATAAGTAGTGAGGTGTTCTCACAAGAGAGCACAAAACCTTCTAAATTAAAACGACATTTAAAAACCAGACAACATGTTATTAACCGTTTAGTTCATGGAAACTGAACCTTTCCTTACCCTAACCACTGTTTACAGTATTTGTCGTTTTTACTTTGTAATATTTCTAAAATTTGATACATTTTATTAAATGACAGCAATAAAATATTGTTTATTTGTAAGTCTTGGTGATGTTCGTATGATTTATCTGTCACTACTTGTGTATGGTAACAAATAAATACAAATTAATTATAATTCAAAAAATTGTATTATAGTTCCTAAAAATTTGGGTCGCGGCTTGATGACCAATGTAAAAATGTGGGTCCCATGGCCAAACTAGTTGAGAAGCCCTGCTCTTGAGCACTGCATGTCTGAATGTCTGTTCAGTCAATTCTCTTTTTTTTTTTCCTGACATGCACTGAACAGGCATAAACTACTCATTAATGGATTAGTGAATTCTGACACAGTAGCTAATTGAATCCTCCATTCAAACAATTCATTCAAAACTGCTGATTCATTCACAAATGAAGAACTAAACTGTAAATTCTTAATTTGCTCACTTGAAACACTGCTTTTAGATGCTCTAATGTTTTGAGAGATTTGGTTTTGTAACTATTTTTGTAAACAAAACAGATACAAAATTGAAAATACTTTAACAAGTAACTCATTCATTGTTTGTTAAATAAAATTAAGATCACACATTCCTCTCATGCTAATATTTAGCAAAATAGTACTCTTAGTGTTAAGATATCTTTTTTTTTTACATTTATTATTTGTAATATCATATAAGAAACAAAACCCCATGTGTTTTTATTTCTCAATGCAATTTTGACTAAGAAATTTGAAGAGCAAGAATTAATTTGATAAAGACGTCAAAAAATAAAGCCACAAACCAGTTTCCAGTCATTAGATATTCTCCACCCATGCTCATGTATAAAAAAAAGGTACATTTAAACTAAATTTTGTTTTCTGGCATACTGCTAAAAACCTGTGCACCTGTAGTCAAAGCTGCAGTGCAGACAGCATATTTTACTGGGCCACTATCTAGCTTTCTAGTTTTGTTCGCAATATGCATCAGATGGTCAGTAAACAGAAAGCAGGCAGACTGTAGGCGCTCTGTCTGTGCTGGTTATCAGTACAAAATCCTAGCATTAGATCCTCTGGAATCACCTCAAACTATACTTCGCATTCTATTATTGCTAGTCCATCCCTGAGATTTCATATATAAAATAACAAAAGCCCAAAACAAAAGAAAAAGAAAAGAAAGCAGGTTTTGTTCAGCCTGAAGTGAAAACAGTTGCGGTACTGTACCTCTCTCTGTTCGCTGCAGATCTTGCAAAGCCACTGGGTCCGTTTCTGACCGCCTGCAGTCGTCTCGATTCCACATTTAGTGCAGACCTTCTGCAATACATAAATACACATATCCTTAGAACAAGCCAAAAATTAACACAGCCTGCTACCTACTGTAAACATTAAGACTGAAGCATTTTAATAAGTGAAACGTACATCTGTTTATGTAAAGGTCTTGTCAGTAGTAGAAAGTAGCATAAGCTGACCATGTGTTTGTAGTGAAGTGAAAAAGCTGACTGGTAGCACGGTTTTATTCTTATAATCACATTAATAAATATACATTAAAGATGGACAGCTTTATAGATTTATTTATTTAAATTATTTATTTTAGTGACCCTACTTGAGAACTTTCACAAAAAAAACTAAAATAATAAATAGAAAAAAATTAAAGGAACAACATAAACAAAAAGAACAAATAAAAGAAAAAATTAATAAATAAATAATAAAATTCATTTTTATTACTACTACATTCATTTATTTTAACATTTACAAGCTTAAAGGATTTTTATTTTTGCCATCATAAAAAAACTATTCTTAAAAATCAAGCATTTTATATATAAAGATGAAGACATTATACATTGGTTTTCATAAAACAATACAAAAGCACATTTACAGAAAAATTATATTATATAAAATTAATGAATGCAAGTAAAGTGTCCAATGTTTCAAATTTTCTTTTGGGAAAATAAAAATGTCAAACCACGATGGAAAAACTTGAAATTCACTCTAAATTATGCATAACAGATTAATTAAAAATTAACTGCATACTTTTTTCTGACCTGATTAAAGTCACTTGACAACATTTGTTAAGGTTTTAAAAATCACCTTGCTAACAAATGGGTAAAGCCTAGCTGCCTGCAAAATATTGGCAAATATAAACATAAAATGACAATCATTACTATTTTGGGCCTGCACTGTGATCTATAAGTAGCCATTTAACATGTTAGCAAATGATTTTTTTATTTTTTATTTTTTGCTAATGTTCTAGATTTTTTTTTTCTAGGTAGATTTTTTTTATGATAATGTATGATAATCACTATTTATCTGATAAACTATTAATTATGTGTATAACATGTATTTATATACACACACAGTAAAGGTTAAGAAAATAAAACAAAGAAACCCTCAAAAAGATGTTGTTTGCTGTTTGTTCAAACCACTTATTTAAAACAAGCTGAGAACACAATTCTTGAGGGGTTTTTTTTGGGACAACTTTATTGTTTTATATTCAATCTACTAAAATTTGTAAAAACTAATAAATAAATGTAATTTCTTCATAATGGCCCAACTGAATTGTTTACAGTATATATATATTATATATATATATATATATATATATATATAATTTTAAATATGCTGGATTATTACAACCCAATTTTGGGTAAAATATAGAAAAAACCAGCCGATAATCTTTTTAATGAAATTTATAGGAACAGATTTAACGCATCATTTAGGATTTTCCATATTTTATTATATTTTCATTGAAATAACCCAGCATTTTTTAGTGTAATGACAGCTTGCTTTTAAGCAGGATAATGTCTGATAATCAAATAAATAGCAAGAAACAATGAAATACTAATAACCAATTATATTATAGTCAATGTGTATTTGTAATTACTTGACATGTTTTATTTTCCTATCCGTTTTATAACACTGTAAAATAAAATCCATTTTCCTTCGCTAACTAGTTCGCATTTTTTTAGACCACAACCACAACCTGTCGAGCAATTGAAGGCAAAAATATACACAGTCTGATCTGGACATCACTTGCACAAGGGCTGCACAATCATTTCAGTATTGGTATCGCAATGGTCACATCGCTGGAGCCTAGGATTACAATTAACCAGGAACTACAGTTCAGAGCACATGATTTGATTGCAAAATTTAATCCTAATATGTAAAATATTTTTGATTTGTTTTCAAGGCCTGCGACTAAGATTTCAAAAGAATTTAAACTATTTAAGCACAAGAAACTATGTCACTTTAACTAAGAATGATTGTGTTTATTTATACAATGGAGATTCCATGCAGTGTTATTACGAAATTGTTGTACCTCAATACTCGAAAACCAAGTGCTGTTTATATTGTTTTTTTTTTAAATCATTGTTCGATTGTTTTCATCCATGCTTCAATCACATGGCAGCAACTCAATGCATTTAGGCATGTAGACATGGTCAAGACGATCAGTTACAGTTCAAACCGAGCATCAGAATTGGGAAGAAAGGTGATTTAAGTGACTTTGAATGTGGCATGGTTGTTAATGACAGACGGCTGGTATTTCAGAAACTGTTGATCTACTAGGATCACGCACACCCATCTCTAGGGTTTACAGAAAATGGTCTGAAAAAGAGAAAATATCCAGTGAGCGGCAGTGTTGCAGGTGCAAATGCCTTTGGTAATACCAGAGGTCAGGAGAGAATGACCAGACTGGTTCAAACTGATAGAAAGGTAACAGAAACTCAAATAACCACTCGTTACAACCGAGGTATGCAGAAGAGCATCTCTGAACACACAACACGTTTAACCTTGAAGCAGATGGGCTACAGCAGCAGAAGACCACACCAGGTGCCACTCCTGTCAGCAAAGAACAGAAAACAGATACTATTCACACAGGCTCACCAAAGATGATTGGAAAAAGATTGGAAAAACAATGCCTGGTCTGATGAGTGTCAATTTCTGCTGCGATCTCAGACTGGCTTCCTGAACATGACAATGAGTTCACTGTACTCACATGGCATCCACAGTCACCAGATCTCAATCCAATAGAGCACCTTTGGGATGTGGTTGAACGGAAGATTTGCATCATGGATGTGCAGCCAACAAATCTACAGCAATTGCGTGATGCTATCATGTTATTATGGACCATCTCTAAGGAACATTTTCAGTACCATGTTGAATCTATGCCATGAAGGATTAAGGCAGTTCTGAAGGGGAAAAAAAGGGTCCAACCCGGTACTAGTAAGGTGTACCTATTAAAGTGGCCAGTGAGTGTATTTTTATTTAGATCATCTAAAATCCTACAAAATCTCAATGAAAGTAAAATGAGAGTTCTTTCCAAATAGAAGTAACTAAAGTTGTCTTGTGAAATTATATTCATATCACAATATAAATCACGGAAAAACTAGATATTGCAATGTCCGTTCTTTCCAATATCGTGCAGCTCTAACTTGCACCACTGCTATTTAGCAGTTGTTTCAGGAATAAATTTGATTTGCTTCATTTGCCCACAAGAGAACTCTTAATGCAGTATTTAAATGTGTGGAAGTGGAAATATGTCCACCTTGAAATTGTGTTGATTATGAGAAGCAACGTTCTCATCCAGACAGAAATGAATTAAATTACAGCAGGAGATTTGACTGTGGACTCTAAAGGCTTGGTTTTAAAGATTCAATTTGAAGGTAAGAGTTTGGGTGTGCTGTTGTAATAAGGAAAAAGAAAGAACCTTTAATCAGACTTTACGTAATAGAAAGACAAACACTAGAATTAAGTGGCAGTAATTTGGTTTTAGGAGAAGTTCTATATACTTAAATTGCTTCGGGATGGAGTTAGCAAGAGAAGAACAGAGAGAATGCAAGAGTGGGGGCACAAAGAGATCTCTTCAATTTCCGCTAAATACTTCTAAAGATCCCTCAGCGAGCGAGAGCCATCTTTAAAGCTGCTGTAAGCGGTTTAATACCACGCATAAAATGTCCTTTCTGCCTGACAGATATCACTGAAATGGCTGTCTTGAGAAATCACACTTCACACTGTGACAGCTTCAGGCTCTGTAAACAGAAGAAAGAAAAAAAAAAATGAAACTGATTGCAGTCTGCATGTTTCAGCCAATCAGAAAGCCTGAAGATGACTTTCTACCATAGGGTTTGGGGCGGGATACGCTCTCTGTCTAAACACTAGCAACAAAACAAATAAACCACTATGGGCAATTTTGTTCTTACCCTTCTAAAGGGTGCAGTCACATTACATTTTTGGTTTCACCGACTTAAAGCTAAATAAAATGCATTCCAAACTTTTGGGAATTGCAAATTCAATGCTGTTCTGATCTTGTCTTTTCATGGTTGATCCGTATTCCCAATTTTTTTACAAACAACTTGGTCAAATTTGATACTGATTTATGTCTTTTTTCCTCATTCATTTAAGATAGAAATATGAAAAAGTATGCAAGTACATAACCAAGGTGTTCATTTATTGCGATAGGCTAAAGTATCTGCACTGATTTAAAATGTATGTCAAGCACTATAGCTGCACTTTAATTGCCCCATTAATGATAGTACTGTTTTATTCGTGTATCTGTATTTTACTGATTTGTGTACTCCACCACTGCTGACAAGGGCTGACAAAGTCCCTAAATGAGACTGTAAAAGTAAACATCACCATGAAATTCTTAATAAAAGCATAAACACATTAAGGGTGTTTATTTGCTGAAATGAATAATAAAATCTGTTTTAACTGTATTGTGAAAAGTATATTCATGTAAGGTTTTTGTACATGTTATATATATCAAAAAGGGAAAAAAAAAACAATAAATTGTTGTACGAATGCTCTCATTTTTAAATATTATTCCATTAAAAATGCATGAAGGTCATGTGACCATCAGGAAGATCGCAGCATCTCCTTTCTCACAGGACGCGTTCTCTGTTTTTGCGGTTTACCGAGTTCGTACTTCCGAGGTGACCTGGAAAGAACAGTTTTCACAAGAATGCAAGTCCGTTCTCTGCGTTCTTGGAATTAAGAAACAGCCAATATATTGTTTCAGCAGCGATACCGCAATGTGCAAATCTACAACAGTCACATCGCAGGATTTCAAGCAATTTCAAGTGTATGGAAACAATTTGGACACATAAAATTATAAAGTTCCCCACTAACAAAGATTAATTGTGTTTAATTATTTATACAATAAACACTAGTGTTATTTTAGCATATTTCATTAATTTTATTATATCTCTTTACCTCAATACTGTTAGACTCCACCGAACACCATAAAGCACTACTTATTCCATTTTGACATTGTTCTTTTGTTTCAATATGTGCTTTAATATATATAATATTAATAT